AGCGTGTTGTGCATGCATGTGCGAGGATCCGCCCTTTTCGATGGCATGTAAAGCGAGACGCGGAAACCGACGAGAGCCTTGAAGCTTGTATGGTGTTAGGGAAGCTAACAGGAAGCCATTCTTTGCATGCGCAACCGATCCGCAGGGATCCAGGCTCTACCAAGAGGCCGGGTCCTGGCAGTACCGCTCTGTGGAGATGCACAGCAAGGCGAAGGGAGCGTTTGTGTTGTCGGAAGTTTGTGTCAATATGGGGGGACGGGGACCCCCCCAAAATTGTCTTCTTGTTGGTTTCCCCGTAAACCGACCCTCAAAATAGGTAGACCCATTTGGGATTCGGGACATGGACTCGATTTCCTAAAGGGGACTCTCGGACTTACCGGTATCCATGGGTAAAGCAAGCTTTGAGCCCACATGTGCAACCCCCGAAATGGACTTCAGTTTCCCTTTGGTTGCCCTTCGCTCCCCCAGAAGGGTACCGCCCACAAAACATATATCCTTGTTGAGATGCTCGGCTTCGCTCACTCGGTGGCTTGGTGCCCCAGTGCCAACGGAGGTTGAATCTCAGCCGCCAGGCGGGCTACAACGAGAAAACCGACATTTGGTCATTTGGCGTCATGGCTTATGCGCTGCTCTTTAATGAGTTTCCCTATGCTCCGCAGCAGCGGGACAAGGAGACTGAGATAGCACAGTCTGAGTGTTAGCGAAGCCAGGCGCCTTTCTGCACGAAGACTTGAGGGACCCTTGAAGAAGGTTTCAACTAAGTGAGCATGATAGAAAAGCTGCCGGAGGCCTCATATTTTCACCCAGGTTGGTTGAAGCAAAGGGTTCTGTCTTTTTCGAGGGTGCTCGGTTTTGGTGGGTTTTGAGGGAAACCAAGAGGAGAACCACCATTTTGGAGGCGTCCATAAAGCGAAAGCCAAATGTCAATGGGGTGTTGTGCGCTCACTTGACACCTTCACATGGGACCAGCTATTCAGACAGACCCTTCCAAAGCTACCCCAAGCGACCCACAGCCAGTCAGCCACTTCTAATTCTAAACCAACAACGCCACGTAAACCAGGCCTTGACAAATTCGAAGCAATCCCAAACTCCGCCATTTATGAAGCCGCCCTTCACTCATCCCTAAGACCCCAAACCTTACAGCTTTTGCAAGCCAGTCCTCAAGGGTGTCTCCCTGATGTGCATAGGCCGGTCTCACGGCGGGCTAATGCTCCAGTGCGACAAAGGGTCCGCATTTCCTCCCACTTTCCGTGTGCACGGTCTTAGCATCAGCCTGACGACATGTAAAGCCTGAAACAAGGGATGCACTTCAACCCAAGGCCGCTCGTTGGTTTTTGGGGCTGTTGGTCGGGTCAAGCAAGCCTACCAACCCTGACCAAAGAAGATGAGTGCCAAAACGTTCCCTATGCAGAGCTTTGAAGGAGCTGGGCAGTTCTGGGCACGGCTGACATGTAGGATTTGTAAATGTGAGAGGATATTCTATTGCGCTCCACAAGCAAGCAGGCAGACGAAGAGACACACATATAGATACATACTATATGCAAAAGCAGAGAAGGAGACATAGGTAATAAGAAATTGGGACAGGTCGGAGGTAAACAAAGGCACATGCCAACAACGAGTGCATTTGCTCGCCACATGACAGAACTGACGTGCTCCTGGCCCCTGCTTGCTTGCAGGACGCCATACGGGCAGCCATCATGCAGAATAGCGAACCTCGCTTTGTTCAGGAGCCTATGCCTCCAATTCAGTGCCATTGTTTCAGCGTTGCCATGCGTTGAAATTTTGCCTGACCCAGGTGCCCATTGGCCAGAAGGCCAGGCCTTCTCGTGTCGGAGTGCGTGATTGCGTGATGCGAAGGTCGGCGAATTTCTTGGTCCTGCAGCCAGATTTTGTCGCGTGCTGCTGCCTCCTGGCAGTCAAAACAACACCCGTGCACAGTTGCCCAGTGCCACGCATGAATCGGTCTAGCCTCTTTCGTTTTTTTTGCTACTGGGATTTGAATTCAAAACTTGGAGTCTATGGTTGATGTGGCGAGGACATGAGCAAAGCTCATGCTTTGTGCCGGGCTGAGGCGGAGAAATCAGGACATTCGTTGCAGCGCAACAGAAGCATTGCAGCGGCTACGACGCACACAGTCCTGCAACACGTGCATTTGCATTGCAAAGTTTGAGTGTCCAGTGTTCCAAGGCTGGGGTTCATCACCGGCATGGCATGTTCCATGGAGATGGAAGCTGACTGCTCGAATGTCCGGAAGCAGGACAGGGATTTTGCAGCTGGGAATGGCGGAATCAGGAGACAATAAGCTCAGGCGATATCCCCAACAGCACCACACCCTCCCAGACCCTCGCGGAACCCTCGTGGAACCCTCCTTGGAACTGCCCTGTGGAACCCTCATGGATCCCGCCCCGGACCACCCCGGAACCTTCCCGTAGCTTTTGCAGAACTCTCGCAGAATTCTCGCGGAACCCTCGCGGAACCCCGCGGAACCTTACCTCAGAGCCGCCCCAGACCACCCCGGAGCCTATCTGGGCAGAGACCCCATCGCTTTCAGCTGTTGGGGATAACCTGGCCATATACAACAAAACTGTTTGAGAATCAAGAAGAAGCATGGCCAATGTTCTCCCCAGTCCATCAAATCAGTTCCAAACATTCGCCCAACAAACGGACACAGACCAGGCATAGTGATGTAGGACCATCATCCGGAAGTCAGGGATCTGGCGCCGGCGAGCGGTTGGGAATGGGCACCGCGGCAGGAAACATATCGACGATATTGCTCTGAATCATTCCATCCCGTGGCTTCCTAGTGGATACCGCAATGCGTTCCCTTTAAATCCATCCCTACTGCGGCGCGAGACATAGGATCCCCCCCCCACCCGGCTAAGAACCTTAAAAGAGGTTCTTAGAAGAGTTCGGAGAACCTCCCTAAGAGGCCCCAAGGTTTCACTGAAGCTGTTTTCATGAGATCCAGAGAGGTGCTGCGCGATGTTTTTTTGTTTTTTTTGCGTCCAACAGATCCTGAGGTAAGCGGGGCCGACTCCCAGTTCTCGGATTTCACAGCCGCAACCCCCAGCATGGAGATGTGGCACTGTTTGGCACAGCTTCGCACCGATGGAGTGACCGCATCGGCTCAGGGGACCATTCTTGGTTGCCAGGAGGGCTCAATCTCACGGACAGAGCCATTCCAAAGAACCCTGGGTTTGCGTCCTTGCCAACGGAACCCTCAGCTTGCAATTCCATCACTTGCCGTTGTTTCAGGTGGAGCTGACTCGGCAGGAGCTCGCGCCGCTGCCGCTCATTGGCGCGGACGTTGAAGACCTCACATAGCTCCCTCCCGCTCCGTTTCTTCCAAGCAGCCAGACTCCGGAAGGGTTGCCGGAAACGAGGGGAGTTTTGCCCGCTTCCTTGAAAACGGTCGATAGTTGGGTCTTTGGCAGTTGTTTGTGTTGAAATTCAGTGTCCTGATGGACAAAACGCAACTGTCACCAAGAGGGAGCAGGCACAGGCTTGTTTGTTCTTCCGATCTGTCTCACACGCATTGGGATTGCTTGCCAAGCGCACAGTTCCGATCAGAAATAACATAGACGTGCCTTTGGGGGTCCGAACGGACCTCCCGGAATTGCATCAACTCGTGTCAAATGGACCGTGGCATTGGTGCTGCTGAATTGTCTGGCATGGCCTGGGAAGGGCATTGGGACCAGCCTATATTCTCTGGAAAGCAAACACAGAGCCCTGTCCGCTTGCCACTGGGTCAGTTTCAATTGAGCTTCCTGGGCACTGCAACTGGCTTCTCCCCAAAGGGAACCCGCCTCAACTTCCGTAGGACCTCAACGGCAAGCACTCCGCGCAGCTGGGAGGTCCGGGCTCTCGGGTGCCGAAGCGGCTGCGTTTCTGGGGGTGATGTTTGAAGCGCAGTTCGACCACCGTGGGGCTCACCAATTGGTGTCATTCTGCAACCTTCATAGACGGGGGTGCTAGAACAAAACTTGGGGGATGGGTTCAGGGCACTTCTCAATTGGGTTGGTGTCCTTTTGGTTTCCCTTGAACCATCATCCAACATGAGGACACCTCATCTTAGGCCCCCTATCGTCTCACCGTGGATTCCGCCTAGGCTTTTTTTGGCTGACTGAGTCTGAGGAACTCTTTCGTCGGTCACATTCGACCTGGAGCTCCTCATCGGGGAAGCCTCCAAGTGCGGAATTCGCCGGTGCAGGCCTCAGGAGCGGAAGGTGTCACGTGAGATTGCCCCTAGCTCACAGGCTCGTCAAAGGCTCGCAGGGCAGTTTGGTCACGGCGCTATGATTTTCCTGTGAGGTGCCGCCTGGCACTCTTGCGCAACATGCACATTCTCACTGAGGACCGACTTTAGGGCTTGTGCCAAACCTTCGCGGTGGCTCAGATAGATTCGAACTTGTACAGGCAGCAGGTGGATGTTCTTTGGAGCAGGTCTGGAGAGTGGATGGTCAAACAACACACACACACACACAAAAGCCGGTCTTGTCCACTATGAGAAGACAACATGCTCATGTTTACGCTATGTTTAGAGCTGATGTCATCATGTGAGCAAGCAGAGACTGAGGAGTGGTTTGATGTATCGTCCAAGGCCGGCCTTGACCTGATGGAACAAACTCTGCAAGTTGCAGGTTTTTGAACGGAGTGGATCGCATGCTTCTTGAAAAAGCTGCAGGTACCGTTGCGTTTCTATATCTCCTCATCTTGCTTTGACAAGGGCTCTGCGTATACAGTCGCAGCACTCACCTCAGCTGTATCTGCGGGAAGACAGTGCCCATGCAATCTTGTCCTAAGGCTTGCCCCGTGCATCAGAAACAGGTCAACCACTATCATTTGTTTACTTACATCTTACGACCTTCCCATTCCTTGAACTCGGGCGCGGTGCCGGTGCTTGTAACGTGATTGTGACGGGAGGGTAAGGGATGGTTCAGGCTTAGAATTAATAGCAGGTTTGCCCCATACCTACGAGGTGCGGTGGCTCAGGCCTAGTGAGGCAGTGGGCCGACACTTTTACATTGGTAGCTGACGCAAGAGCGGACGGCTGCCATAGGGCCGGTTGCGCGTGCAGTTCGCCGATTCGCCAATTCGCCGATGTGTCACCGAGCGAGCGAAAATGCGCGAATTCCCAGGAGAGACAGCCCTGAAGAAATCAGTCCAACTAGTTGACTTCACCGGAACAGATTTGCAGGAGAGCTCCACGGCTTGCCTATCATGCCTATCTTGCCTACAATATTCCTTCTCCCGGGAATTGTCAGAGGCAAGTTTTGCCGGCTCGGTTTTCGCTGGGCTCAAACTTCGAGCTCACGCACTCGTGCCGCGGAAGCCTTGGAAGCCTTGGAAGCCTTGGAAGCCTTGGAAGCCGGGCATTGAAAGACCACCAACCAGACATTTCCATTAAGGCCAACGACGCCGAGATGTTTGCGCCGCCCAGTCGCCCACGGTTGGCGTCCCAGAAAGCGTCAAAAAAAAGAGGCCTGAGTTTCAAAGTTTGGGTTTCCCCATACCTTCCGAAATTGTTCAAAAAGAAGTCACCCAGGACTTGCGAGCCCAGGTATTCGGGCGCGAGACCGAGCACCGGGGGAAGGTCACAAGAGCCCGGGGCTTGAAGAAAACCATCGGCTTTTGGCATGAAGAGACAGCCCATTTTTTTTTTGTAAAGAAAGCATTCCCTCTTTAGGGCTTTCCGGAAAAAACAAAAAAAAACAAATCTCCAAAAAGGGGGCCAACACTTGAAACATGCGACGGAGCAAGGCACGCAACTTGGCTGAGGTCTAGAGCCAGCCTCGGCGACAAGGCTCTGGCTACTTGCGCGACCGGATGCTTTTCAATACACAAACATGTAAGCAAAACCGTTCTTCGTTGTTCCCAACTTCCAATATTTGAGGCCTGTTGCAAGGCCCCCCACTATACTAGTCTTCTGTTGGAACGTTTTCAACCCATTCTGTACGCGGGGCCGCATGTTCCATCCTTTATGTTCTCCTTGGGTATCTTCCGTAGGGAGGTTTTAAGAGCCCCATCGGAGGAATCCTCCAACGAGAGCTCGCTTTCAGCCAGGATCTGAGCCCTCGCAGCAACGATGCTACGAGGAGCCCTTTTTCGGGAACAACGAATGTTCCATGCCTCACGTCGTCACGGCATTTCTGTGTCTGCAAGTGTGGCATTACACGGAAGCGCAGGACAGAGGATCGACCTATGACAGTTCATGAGGCACTGGCGGAGCGGACTCGACTTGCCGGCCGGCATATGAGGTTTGTTGTGAAAGACTGCCAGGAATCACACAGCTTGTCCCATGCATGTCCATTGCGCGAAGCAGCAGATTTTGTCCATGGCATCCCTTCCAACACAGCCAGGGCTGAGTTGTGAGTATGGACATGCTTTGTATGTACATGCCTGCAAGCATGCATCCATCCAGGCATGCATGCATTCAGAATGTATGCATATACTACACGTATCATCATTTGTCCAATCTTTGGGCTTTCGCATTCTGCAAAGGCGAACAGAGCAAAGAAGGCTGGGCACAGACTCCATTGGGTACATGTGCACATGAATTCCAGCAGCTCACATCGTCACATTGCAGGCCATCAGTTCTTCGCATTTTTTCTATCGAGAGGCAATCGACAAGAATCGGAAAGCCATCGAGAACCGCATCCGCTACTTCCAAAAGGAAGAGGCCACAACGTCATAGAAACTGTCATGAGCTTCCTGAGCCATACTGTTAAGACCCACAGGAGAAAATCTGGCGAGATTTGGAGGAAGTCCGGCGGCAGGCACGCTGTGCAGATAGAAGAAGTGATCAACCCGGATTTCGTGAGTTCTGTGATTTGACAGTTAGCTGCAACTCTAAGCAATATGTGTTTTACGTCTCTTCAAGATCTGGCAGCCCCTTGACTCAGCTCTTATTTGATGCTGCTGGCCACTGTATCAGGCAGCAGCTATCGAGGCACGGATCTTGTGACACAATGAGACTTGCTGCAGCCAGATGCTGTGGGTTCTCATGCGCTTATGAGCGAAGGCCTGCAAGGTGGGTATCTGTCGTGCGCGACAAACAGACAGAGAGAGAGAGAGAGAGATTCAGATAGACGCACACACACAGCGGACACACATTGCAAGACAGAGAGACCGACGAAGGAGATGCGAACGAATCTGATGGACAAAGATGCAGCTGGAAACAAACCCACAAATGCAGACACAACCACGACCAAGGTATGGCAAAGATACGCTGACATAAACACATACAAGACTCAGGCACGCGCTCATTCTTTGAGTGGATGTATAAAAAAGGATCAGAAGGCCGCAAGCACAAGCCGCAAACAAACGTTATCATTCATCGAGTGCGACGCAGAGCCCATTGTCACCTAAACGGCACGACAGGTCAAGTCCCCCAGTCTTGCCCTCGGGAGAGACCCAACGCATCCGCGAGCACAGCTCAAACCCCGTCGCGCTGAAAAGCTGGAATGAATGTCCTCAATGTGAGAATCATATCCTGGCCCACCCAAGGTCTTGGCGACTTGTGCGTTTTGTGCCTCCATGTATTTCTCAAGATAAGCAAAGGCTTGTGCATGGAGCATTGTTGCAACAGGAAGGCCGCTCGCGCACCATCGAAAAGAAGCTGGCTGATCGCGCCATTCAGCAGGACTGACCCGCTTGCATGGACAAACTATAAGCTAACAGCCACTCAAGAATAACATGTCATGGTTCTTTGCAACCTGGAAGAAGCCAGAGTGCAAGTCAGCGTCGTGACAAGGAGAGAGATCTTATGCTGCAGCAAAACAGAGTGAAGGCGGCTCAAAATAGGCAGGGAGCATTTTGCTTGGCCGAGCTATGGAGATGAAACAGGTTGCTGGTGAAGTGCATAGCAACGGTTTGACGCGTTGATGCTTTGCCACTTGCAGGGTTTCAGTTACAGACTACCGCAAGCGTCAACAGCTCCCAGCTTAGCATTTCTTCTGCCGAAAGGCTGGTCAGAGGGGAGCGCAATGGAGAGTTTTGGGTGGCAGCAGAGCGGCACTTGGCCTTCTGAGGTTTGAGGCAATGAGAGAGAAGCAGCTGTCAGCGCAGGTTCAAAGGGAGACTTCGCAGGCCGGGTGAGGACACACCGAAGCATGCACCTCGCGCTCATATGTCGGGTCTAAGCAAGGGGCAAGTGAAGAAGCACGCCAACCAGAACGTAAGCCAAGACAATCTACTCGATCTTTTCTGCAGGGATAGGCAAGCAAAAAAAAAACAGGTTTCTGGACACACGACAGCGTTTGTGGTGTCCAGCCCTTGAGGCAATCATGCACCAGAAGAGACAGATCGACATGGAGGCGAGTTGAGATGCATTGCAACTCCTGAAGTTTTCTCTGTTTTCTAGCCCCCAAAACCGGTTCTCCTGGTGGTATTTTGAGCCTTCTTCCCGCCCTTTTGCCCTGTGCATGCACGCAGATGCGCAAAACGAATTCCGAGAGGGCCGCTATGATACAGCTCGAGGCTTAGAGGGTCGCTTGGCTCTTTGCACTGGGATGAATGACCCCTAGGAGCACTTGCTCAATGAGTCATGTGGGGCCCCAACTTGCGCGCAACACCTACCATCCGGTTTGCAGTTTTGGGGCGCTTCGCAACGAGTTCGGTCCGTGGTTCTGGGCATGTTTGGCTTCCATTTCAGGATCTCGCAAAAGGAAGCTCGGTCAAGGGCCGCCATCTCAGTCTGCCTTTCACCGCGTTGCTCGGCGTGCAACTTGGCCCTTAGGCAAGCCAAGAACGTTCGGCCCGCCTGGAACGCGTGCGGGAATTCCAAGAGTATGAGCGCCAACAAGCAGAACAGGAGGCTGGCTGGGGCAGGTTCTGCTTTTTGCCTGTCAGCAGTAACGATCAGTTCCTTCCGATGATATGTATTGTATCCCGTTTCAGCATTCCGCTCAAGTGCATTGCAAGAAGCACTCAGCTTGAGTTGAAGTTCAGACAGTTGTGCAGATCTGCACGTCTCTCAGCAGGACACAATGCGTCTTTACCCCACTCGCCAAATGAGTATGGGAACCTCACAAGGTCAGGCATCCTCGCAGATACACCAAGTGTGCAATGGCCGCTCCTCCACCGAAGCGGGCCCGGTCTGAGACGGCAGTGTACATTGGTGCGCTCGGCTTTCTGCGATTAACTGCTCTGATCGGCACTTTGCCGATCGACTCTGGACAGGAGAGGAAGGGTCCTTGGCGCATGTTGCCTCAGGCGCGGCTTGTGTTCATTGCTCTTTGCCTGTAAGCCAGCATAGCACGCTTCACTCAGGAAGATTCTTTAAGCACCTTCCCCAGTTCACCAGAAAAGGCGTCAGCTCCATCGCAGCGGCCGCTTCTCTGATGATAGGTTCAGGTGGGGGATTCAGCGCGAACGTGGCACTTCAGGCATTCAAGGCCGTGGCGGATGGTGCAGCGTTGTACGCTGTGGTGCCTATCGAAAACTCTGCATCAGGCCGAGCATAAGGCATGCCTCAGATTTGCAGTTGCGTGAACAGCTCGGTGACAGGCACTTTGCATTCCACGTACGACCTCTTGTTGCAGCATGATGTGGTCATCGCGGGAGAGCTTGGCGTGCGTGAGGCGTGGGCTGGAATGCAAATGCAAATGAGTGCGTCTTCTTAGGATATCCCTTTTTGGGCGGTTTTGGGGAACCAAAAGGAAATCAATATTTCTTTTGCGTCCCCTTTTTAAGGCACACCCAAGGGCTGCAAGGTCTACTGCCTTTGCGCACGTCCTGGCACCACGCTGGACGACGTGAGATACGCGCTTGGCCTGCAATTGCTATGGCGTTCCTCAGGGTCAAGCAAAGAATAGGACACATGCCAGCCGCACGAGGTGCTGAGCCATCCAAACATCCTGAATGCCTGCAGCCCTGGCCTGTTTGGATAAAAGGCTTCCTTGCTTAGGCTTTTTGGGAGTTCGCATGTGCGAGGCTCAGCATTCCTGGAAACGCGGGTGCCATCCGGCAGCCACTTGGATGGTTGAATTCAATAGATCAGGATGCTTGCAATGCTGGGAACACCAGGGTCTCAAATGAACCCGAATTTCTGACCCAACATTTTTGCCAGTCCATATTGTGTAGAAGTGTCATTCCTTAATGTGTGTGTGTGTGTGTGTCTGTTTGTGTGGGTTTGGGAAAGGGAAAGCCCCAAGGAAACCGACGCGCAGCTCTGGAGGACCTCAGGCGCTGGCGCCCCTCGAGCTGATCTCCACGATCTCCACAACGGAGGCTGCGAGGAAGGCGCGCCCGGCGCTTGCCCCGGCGCTTGCCCTCTGCGAAGCCTCCCCTCGAAGCGAAAGCATAGCCTCTTGAGATCCATCTGAGATCCGAGCGAAAGTGCCTCCCAACCGACATGTCAGGTGGCTCAGTCGAGCGGCTCCTCCAGCTCAAGCTTCGCTCTGGGAGCGGCTTCGGCCATTGCTACCCAGGAGGCGGCGGCCAAGCACAGCTTGCAAGTGCTAGCTGAGGACAGGGAGTTCGGACTTCCGTGAGCTGAGAACAGAGTGCTAGATAGTGCGAGCTGAGTTGGATTTCCTGGCAACTTGAGAATGCCCCCGAGGACATTGGCAATGATGCCTTCCTGGAGACGCGTGCCGTGTCGAAACAATACGGGCGCTTGAGTGGATTGAAGAGAATTTGTGAGTGATGAGTCGGTGAGGTTACATTCTCATTCACCTCCGAACTGGCGATGCGGCACGGCTGTCCCCACCGTTTCCGCGGGATGCGCAGAACCCCGTGCGGAAGCGCTCTGCATGCTTTGCGCTGCGGAACGAGCGCTTGGGCTGCACGTATTGGCTTCCCAGAAGGTTCAGATGGACGTGACGACTTGCCGCAAGGCCTGGGGCCATCTTCAAGCTCATCGCCTGCTGGGCGCTTCGCAACATCGACGTCCTCAAGGCCTGGCCGCTCATGTCCCGGGCCCCGCTCCCCGTGCCCCGCGCCCCGTGCCCCGCGCCCCGCGCCCGGCGCCCGGCGCCCCACGCCCGTGTCCCGAGGTGGAAACTCGGCCGCTGGCAGCCGGCCTCCGGGCACCTCCGGGCCTCTCCACGGCCAGGCTCTGGGACTACCTGCGCCCTTGGCAGCATTTGGGGCATGTTTGCTTCTTTTTGACAGCTTCCGCTTGCACATCTCGGCAGTCTTTGAAGCATCAGAGCCACAATCAAAACCTGGGTAGATGAAGGTTAGTAAGGGACGATCCCAACCAGAAATAGCTGCGGCCGCCTTCCTAATCCTGTACATGGTTCTGGGTAGACCGTTTTAGTACCAGGTTCTCATTGTGACTCACGTGCAGGCATGCGTGCGGGCGTGCTGTTAGCTGTCTCAGTTTCCTCAGTGCACAAAATTGCAGCCCAGGTTCTACGTTGACTATGCCGTGGCAGATGAGAAGCTTTGATGCACAGACCTGGGCTCGCCAAATGTCAACGAGCGCTCGCAAAAGCCGAGGTCGGCCGAGGCCCAACTCTGGCAGGCGCTGAAGGAGTTCTCTTTGTGGCAGCGGGACTGAGCTCTCGGGTCGCAAGCTTGACTCAACCTCTGCCTGCGACTTGCTCGCGATTCGCAGGACTTCGGGTCCTACTCATCTCAAGTCACGAGGGCGGAGAAGACGCCCCAAGAGTGGTCTGACATGATCGACCTCATGACCAAGTCCTGAGAGAGCCAAGGTTAGTGTATGTGTGCAAAGTCACAGACATTCGCAGAATGTCAGAGAAGAAGGGTCCAGGACAGTTTTTTGACTCGGTGCAGTTTGCAGTGAAGCTTGGGCTGCTCGGCCGCTCTTGGGCACCCGTCGAAACGCATTTCTCCTGTTGCATGGATCAATTCAGCGGAGCGAGTTCTTGAGCGCCAGGTCCTTGAAGCCGAGTCCACCTTGCCCGAGCTGGAGGACACGCCACGCAGTTGTTTTCTTTGGTGCCTTTGGCAACTTTGGCAATGTGAGAAGAAGTGGTTGGTGGACATTTTTTTCCCCACCGATTTCTGGGACAAGCTCGCCAGGAGCAAGAGTTGATCTGTCTGCAGCGCTTGCAGAACTCCAGGATCGTCACACAGTCTGTTCTCGAGGAGCCAGCGACTCGCACGCGTTCTCGCCGCTTTGGGCTGCGGGTTGGTCCGTTCGAAGATGCTGAGGGTGTGGCTCATTTCTCATTGCTGGATGGTTGTAAGGGGACAAAGGAAACCAACCACTAGGAGGGGTCCCTAAGTTTCAGAAACACCCAGCTGCTCAGCGGAATTTGTGGCTCTCACGGTGGCTTGAAGGAGCTGGAGACTCGTCTCGGGTCGCAAAGCCCGTGCCTGAGGTTTTGAGAGTGCTTTTGGGTGCCCAGTTGAAGCCTTTCTGTTGTTCCCTAAGGTTCGGTAGCAACACTTCTGCGATCCAAGCAACGCAGCACGGACCGTGGGCGAGGTTGACTCACATTGAATCTTGGATTTGCACCACATTCCACTCTATATGTCCTTTAGCCATTTCAGGCACTTTTCGTCAAGCTTTTGAGCAAGAGTCT